CAGAGATGGGCCATTCAGGAGGGGGCTGGCTGCCAGCGTACCGTGTCAAGAACAGATACGTGGAAATGGGAGGAAGAGAGGGAAATGAGGCCCTTCCACAACTGAACGGTTAGACATGTGCATTCCAGGATCAGCAACTCTCATTACAAGCTAGCAACCCTTGACTTTCAGATAAACAAAACAGAAGCACAGGAAAACACTTTAGGAGCCAGGCGTGGTGGCACACGCCTTTAATCCCAGCAAACCTCTGAGTTGGGTTAATTAAAAATAGTGAGTTGCAGGTAGTCTGGCTACAGCAAGACCCTGTCTCAATAAACAAAAGCAGGGCTGGAGAGATGGTTCAGTTAAGAGCGTGCACTACCCTTGCAAAGAGCCAACCTGGTTCCCACCACCCACAGTGGGCTGTGAGCAGCCAGTCACTGCTGCTCAGGGGAAGCCAGTGCCTTCTTCTGGTCTCCAGCATCACTGTATTCACGTGGGTATACCCCACTCCCCACAAACACATCAATTAGAAATAAATTATCTCTAAAACAAAGTTAAACAGCCTTGTGTATTTCATCTGGAGCGGTTCCCAGGCTGAGGTATTCTTGTGTCTGACGGCTGCAGCCTGGAGACAGCCTGTGCTATCAAATAGTAGGCTGGGGTGGAGGTGCCCATTTCCCACTGCCAGGTCAAGTTCACCCTCTTCTCTGGGGCTGTGGTCAGGGAAGGGGCATCCCCTATATTTCCAGGGAAGGCGTCGGACTCACTGCCCGAGTTAGCAGCAGCTTCTTTAGACTCCCATCTTTTAGTTGCCCACAACATCAGCTCCATCCTGTATAGAAGACCTGGAGAGACAGGGTGCGAGCGACCACTGGGCATGGATGCGGCCTGTAGACCCCACCCAGGGCAAGCTCTCACCTTTTCTTGGCTCCTTATCTTGTCTCTCTGGCTGGGGTAAGCTGTTGCCTGCCCTATGCTGCTCCCTGGGAACATTGCTGTCACCCACGCACACCTGATTAGGGGGATCGAGTGACTTACAGGGGCTTCTTGTCCCCAGGGTCGGAATTTGCATGGGGTGATGGATGCTGAGATGTCTTCCGAACACAGCTGCACTTTGCATATTAAACAAAGCAATTTCCAGGGGAAGCCGGGGGAGCTTGATCTCCTTCCAGGAATGTTTCCTCGGAGTCAAAGTCCCTTCCTTCCAGGCACACTTCCCGCACTGGCCCTGGGTCCCTCTCCTCTACCAGCCTCCCACCCTTCCCCCACTGCAGCGACCCCAGTTGGGCTGCACAGAGCACAGGATGGAGAAGACACAGGCCCCTGGCCAGGAGAATTGCTCAGCTCTCCTCTGTCCGTTTCTGACATCCCCTCCCCATACCCCACCTCACAGGAGACCTAGAACAGGAGGAGAGTCTTAGCCAGTACCAGCTCCCAAGAGACCTGGCTCAAGGATCTGCCATCTCCACCCCCACACTGCAAGCCCAGGGCTGTCTTCTTGATCCTTCTGGGATGTCTGGAGACACGGACTCGCTCTGTCTGATCACTAAGCTTAGACATTGCACAGTTGAGATCATTTTTGCTTTGAATGAGTCTAAACTTTCCACCCAAGGACTTTAGGATAATGGTTAAAAAAAAAAAGTCACAATATTAACCATGAGGTTAGACTTAATGTTTTCTTCAGAAGAACAGCAAAAACTAAGGTTGAGAGTCTTGATATCATATCTTTGTCTCTATAAATGTGGCCTGAAGACCACAACAGTGTTTGAACTTAAATTACTCCAATGGGCCATGGCTTAGGTTACAGCAATGCCTCCTCAGTGGCCTCACTGGTACATAGGCTATATGGCACCTAGGGATCCTCCAATCATGTTTAAAACCTTCCCAGACATACCAGTCCTTATGCATATGCCTTTGAGCTAGCCCTGGCTGGAGTGGGAGCAGAAGCCTGTGGCTAGAGATGGCTTCTGTGGCCCCATCATAAGCAAGAAAGACACAAAGATGGACAGATTTGTTGAGTGGCAGCTATATGCTCAATCTTTTCAGCGACTAGCCAGATTTGGGGTATGGGGGTTCAAAGAAGAGACTTTGCTTGGATGAATACAATTCTGGGTTGTGAAACTAACCTGTGTAATCTTAAACCTTGTTGAAATTGCATCCCCTGTAAAGTAAAGGCTGTATCAAACATATGTGGAATCCAGTGAGCATCTTTCCACATTGGCTATGCCCAGTGTGAGGCTCCATCACACAGGAGTAAGGGCAGAAGCTATGCTGGCTCCTGGGAGGCGCCATCCTTGAACCAAAGGTCTTGTATCATGCCTGTAGTTAGTGGGATCTGACCCATCACTTCCTGCTTGGGGACTCGCCAAGGCCTGCTGCAGTTCTTCCCACACTGCTGAACAGCCAGCCTCAAGGCGGACAAAGCCAGGACTCCTACAGCATGTGCTCTTCTCTCTTTCCCGTCTTACCCTCTGTCATCAGTCAGCTAGATGATTCAGTGGGCAAAGGCACTGGCAGCCCAATGAGGAAAGCCGCATGGTCTGAGTTTGATGCCCACAACCCATGTAATGGTGGAAGGAAAGAAAACTCCATAGTTGTCTGATCTCACTGTGTACACCATTGCGTGTGCACACACACACAAATTATAAAAATAAATTTTAAAAAATTAAGCTGACTGTGGTGTACGCCTTTAGTCCAAGCACTCAGGAGGTAGAGGCAGGCAGATCTCTGTGAGTTCATGACCAGCCTGGTTTATATAGTAAGTTCCAGGACAGTCAGAGCTCTGTAGAGAGACCTTGTCTCAAAAAAAAAAAAAAAAAAATTAAAAAGTTAACTATAAAAATAATCTTGTGAGCTTCCTAGTACTCACACCGTCCCTGAGATTGTGGTGAAGTGACGTTCTTAGGTCAGAGCTCTGACTTTCTTCTTTACTAGAAGATTCCTTGGGCTTATTCCTCTTGCTGGCTAACAATGGTGTACAAGGTGTACCGAGTCCTTATTGTTCAACATAGCAGGGCTCAGAAGAAAGACCTTTACCACAGTCCTCTTGTAGCTGACGCAGGCATAGTCCCCAATACCATTTCCTACACACACACGCACACACACACATGCACACACACACGCACACACGCGCACACACGCGCACATACCCCATGATAAAGGTACAAGTAGTACTAATGAATACAGCGGTCATAACAATGCAATGTAATAAAAGTTGTTTAAAATTAGATGCATGTCTTTAGTCCTAGCACTTGGGAGCAGATGTAGGTGAATCTCTGAGTTTGAGGCCAGCCTGAGAAAACTTGTCTCCAAAATAATAAAAAAAAGGGGGGAGGGAGGGAGGAAGGAAGGAAAGGGGGTGGGAGGGAGGGAGAGAAAGAGAGAAGAGAGGAAGGAAGGGAGAGAGGAAAACAAGGAAGGACAAACCAAAGGGAGGGAGTTATTTAAAGCTTGAAAGCTGTTTGTTTGGGGGAATTTCCCATGCAGTTTGCAGACAGACTAGCCCTGAAGTCGGTGGGGTTGGCAGAGAGGACCTGCCTCTGCACAGCAGAGGCTGCGAGTTGGGAGTACAAAAGCACTCACAGCTGGCCAGGGCTTCCATGCTGAATGTGTTCCTGAGGAAGCTGTACCATTTCCTAGTTAGCTGGCACGTCACTCGTTGCCCTGATGGTGTCTCCCTAGACAAGCAATAACATCTTAAACTCCTATTTGACTCTGGACTTTCGTCAAGTGTTCTCCACCTCAACACAAGCCAGCCCCGCTCTTCCAGCTCATGTGTTGTGAGTTACGGTACCTTCCCCCCAACCCCAGAAATCCACCGTGAGCATTATTCCAGAGAGCTGATGTTAGAGAACAGACTGTGATGGGGGGACCCTGTTGGTGGCTCTCACAGTTCACAGAAGTCTGGCCAGGCTCTGAGCTGTCCACAGATGTGGGGTCTGTAGTCTGTTTATCCGGGTCTCCGGCCTGCTCCAGATCAAACTGTCCTATGTTTTGTTCGGTTTTGGCGCACAAGCACACACACCTCCCTCCCTCTATAGGAACGATTTCCCATAAGCCAATTAAGATGGAATGCCTCTTACTTGTAACAGAGGTGTCCTGTTATAATGCTCCCAGGTTCTCCTGTCTTGGCAGGCAAGCACAGCAGCCTGGGACTTTGTTTGGCTCAAGCCATCCATACTCCCTCTCCCAACAGCGTACCCAACATCAAGCTGCAGATACCCCACTTCCAACAATGGAGAGTAAGTTGTTCTTTCCTTAGCAGCTCCTTAGTGACTCCTCCTTTGAGGTCAGTTTCTCTTCAAACATGTCCCAGGACATACCTAGAGGCCGAGCACCAGTACGGGCTGAACCGGTTTTGAGAGCGATACTCTGTTTACTATGTTATACCTATGTATAGGTGGGCACACGTGATTAAAATCAGATGCATCCTGGGCATATGAGCAGCGAGTAAAGCCTCAAATAATCCAACAAGTCTGTCAGTGAAAACAAAGAACCACTCCCTCATCTCAGGCCCCTTAGCAACTGTCTCCTCGTGCCCATAAAAGGAGGTCCTGTGCAGTTACCAGGGGCCTTTGAGTACGCAAGGAGCCGACTGCCATGAAGCAGGTCTGTTCTGCACTATCCCTTTGCTTTTAATGAAGTTCCTCGTGACTCTGCAACTTGGGGGCACTTCAGTTCTTTGAACAAGACACCGAGAACCTGGAGACACGCAGTCCAAATGGTGACTTGAAGCGACACAGGCTGTGTCCCCCATGTAGCACCCACGGAGTGTGTCTCTCTGCTGCAGAGCAGAGCAGTAGTGGGGCCGACAATGCTAGGGGTTGAACCCAGGGCCTCTGGACCCTAGGCTAAGTACTGCTGACATTTACAACAGCCATGTAACCTGTACCCAAGGCCTCCTAGGCACGGGTGCTTTGTGCTTCTTCACTGGCCTCTCCGGTTACCAGTGTGAGTCCGAAGGGCGATGCTGCCTAAGGGTAGAGTACTCCAACAGACAATGCATGAAAAACTCAACGCACCTTTCCCTATTTATTAGATTCCAGATACATGGGACCGGATGGGAGAACCCCGGGGCATGTGATTTACATGGGGGCTATATGGGAGAACACATACGAGAATTACAGACAGGAAGGGTGGGCGGCACGAAGGACTGCCGGTTAAAAAATATATACATCTTATGCCATTCCAGCCACGATATCATTATCAGAAAATAAAGCAATCTCTCCACATAGTGCTTCTCTTTGGTGCTGTTCCATGGGCTTGGACTCCGCTCTCCTCCTCGCCTGTCGCCTGTCTCCCACAGAAGGAGTCTGGAGGGAGGGACCAGGCAGAAGGCATAGGCTCTGACCTTGCTGACCCCAGATGAGAGCCGCTTAGTCCTCCTCAAGCTGAGGCCCTGGAAAGTCGTCAGTTTGTGTACGCAACAAAAACCAGGAGGCATGACAAAACCATCCAGAACCTTCAGGAAAGGGGAGGGGACAAAGGAGTGAAATAAACCCCAGCCGGGGCCTCCTCTAAAGCCGATTGTTTATTTCTCGGGTTGAAATAACCTAAATAAGCTGTATCTGAGCATTCAACCGCGAAGGGCGCTCTGCTCTCCAAGTATTCCAGAAATGGACATAGCGGGGAGCCTGAGGTTTTGCTCTGATTAGGGGAGCTGGGTGATAGAGGGACAGCTCTCACTCTTCCTGAGCGCTCTGGCCTCACAGACATCTCTCATCTAGTCTTTGAGCAAGTTTGCGCTACCCCTCCGACTCCAGGTGCCCAGGCAATCCAGCTTGTGCATGCCGCTGTCACTAGTACATTCTCTTAGCTTGTAAAAGCAGCTTCTATCTAGGGACACCAGGTCAGCAGCTCCCTCGGGTGAAAAGGATTCCATCTGGGGTGGGGGTGGGGAGCTGCATTCGTAGACCATGGAGACAAAGCTGACCACTTTAACTGCTCTAAAGCAGTGTCTACTCAGCCAGCCGTGGGCATCTGTCCCGCCCTTGCTGGTGTGGGCAGGAGGCCAAGCAGAAGGGCTGAGGACTTGGCAGATCTATTTTTGGGTAACACCCTTTCCACAATTCTGGGACACAGCAGTGTGGCTAGGGGTGGCTTTCAGAGGCCAGGATCACCAAGCCCAGACCCTAAGGATTAACCCAGTTCAGTAAGAATGTAACATCTACCTTGGTTCAGGGACAAGGAGAGCTCAGGCAGAGGCATGGATGCCTTAACATCCACTTACCCAGTGGCTCCGAGATACAATTCCTTGTAGACAGAGGGACGGGGACAGGGAGGCCTCCCTAAGTTTAGCGTTAACTATGGGAAGTAGCCAGTCTCTAATTCTGAGTCCCTGCAGCTCCTGGAGATGTCACCAAGGAGGCAGAGCCTGGAGCAGTCACAGGTGCCAGAAAGCCTGAAATAGGGGGACTCCTACATTCCAGGAAGGGGTCAGGATATGTGTTGCCTGGGGGATTGCCCAGGAAAGTGGCCAAAGTGTGCTGGCATGTTATTTTCCAGAAGGAGCATCTTCAGCTGCAGGACATCCAGTGAGAACTCAGGACTGCCCCTTGAGGGGACTAATAGGAGGGGAACTTTGTCCTCGTGCCTAGGGCTAAGGGGTTTGTTAAGAAAGAGCCTCTTAGGAAGCGTGGAATGGGTTGCTGGATCACCCTATACACAACTGATGGTCAGGTCTCGCTAGGTGATCCAGAAGGGTTACATCCACTAACAAACATCAAGAGGCTACCCTCCTGTGACACAAAGCCTAGACTTTTATGAGGTAAGGGAGGAGCCAAGAGGGACCTTTAGAGTTCCTTCCTTCCCAAGGTGTCACTATGCCTCCCCGCTCTACTGTTGGGCCTCTCCCTATCCTACATCCCAACCAAGGCTGCTGACCTTAAGTGAGGGTTCCCAGGTGCCCTCTGATGGGGCCAGGTCCTGAACAAGTTCTAGACTTGCCAGGCCCAAGAGAAGGAGGAGGCAACAGGAGCAATAGGTACAAGACCCAGCTCTTTTCTGAGCCAGTATGTTCCTGGATACATACCCTGGAGTTACCTCAGCAGGCTGAGATGGGGCAGGAAACAAGGGAAGGGCTTTTAGGGTGGTGGGATGTGGCCACTCGCGGCTGGCAGGAGCACCCACTGGACCCTGGGTGTGGTAGAACAAGAGGAAAGAAGGAAGGGGAGGGAGCCAGCTGGACTGAGGAGGCGCAGAGACTCCTGAGCGGCCAAAGGCCCTGGCCACAGACCTCTCTATGCAGGCAGGGCCTCTGGAGACACTCCAGCCCCAAGGACCCGCCCTCTCTGACACCAATATCTCTAGAAGAACCCAATCTATGTCTTTTGGGTCCTGGACTCTAAGCATTGCCCATCCAGGTACATCCAGATCCTGAATGGGGAGGGGCCCCGATATGGATGCGCTGCTTCTTGGTTGTGGGGAAGGGTGATTCCTCTGGTGGTCTCCAGCCCTAACGGGAGTCAGCCCTGGCCCAAGCCTTAGCACTGCCCATGGAGAAGGAAAAAAAATACCAAAGAAAATGCGGGTGACAGATGAGCCCCCCGCCCCCACCCTCCCATCCCCGTCTCCCCATCTGCTGCCCCTAGGAGTCTGCACATGGCCAGGAAGCAGAAAAACCTCTTCCTCTGGGACAGCTCAGAGCCCCGATGCAGGTGTGGAAAGTCGAGGCTGGTGGCTGTGGAGGTCTCCACATGGGTCGTGTCCATCCGTCTGTGTGCTGGGCCATCACACCTTGGCCTCCAGCATCTCCAGGAAGAGTTTGTGCATGGGCACCTTGCCCTGCAGTTTCACACTGTAGAAATGCTGCACGGCTTTGGCTGCTGTCTGCCGCAGGAGGGGCAGCGTCAGCAGCAGCTTGCCCGTCCTCCGTGGCTCCTCGTGGCGTTGGCTCAGCTCGTAGTCCTGCAGCGCCTCATGCAGCAGGTCCTGCAACTTCTGCACAGCCTCCAGGTCCTCAATGTACATGGAATCTGCGGACACAGGAGAGGGTCAGAGCCAGCAGGGGTTGCTTGGCTGCCCTGGGGCAGAAGGCATGCCTGGAGTGAAGACAGACCATCAGGGAGCACGTCTACCCTCAAAGGCTGACTATTGAAGAATAAGAATCTTCACTGAAGGGCTGAGCCAGAGACTGGTGGTGGCACTTGGCTCCCACAGACCTGCTGGATATTCTGGAGGTATTCAGGGGACCCTGGAACCCGGCCCGCAGAATCTTATGTTCCTCACTTGGTAGGTTGTGTGAGACTTGGGGCGAGCTATTTAACTTCTCTGTCCCACATTGTTCCTAGCCATAACTATCTCATAGAGTTAAGAGGGTCATACAGGCTAAAGGTACAGGACACTCAAGTGCCTGTGTCACAGGAGCCTCACCGTGGTCACTACGGGCACCATCGTGTCTTCATGGTCTGTGAGCCATGAGCACCACTCATATGCAGCACAGCTAACCTTACAACGCTGGCTGCGGAACAGGTATAAAGGCAGAAATCAATGTCTAGCCGCTTGGGGGTTGAGGGGAATACAGGGGGCATGGGACAGAGGGAGCCAGTGGGAATATAGCTGAGATACATTCATATATGTATTCAGATATTGACATATATCAATAGCTCAGTAATGGGTGCTTGCCTAGTACGCTCAAGGCCTTGGGTCTGACCCCCAGCATGGCAAAGAAAAAAAAGCATTGGTTTAGAATGTAGCCCATGAACTCACTGCCTAAACACTGGGATCTGAGCAGAACAGAGGGAATCTCCTAGAACCTGTCCTGTGGGGGAACTACCCAGCCACTTCTGTCAGCATCTTGTGCACGCACTATGAACTGTAGTCCCAAAGCTTGCTGTGTGGACACCGGGAGCTGAGCCAATCTTGTGAATTCCTCAAAAGAGCAGGCAAGTCCAGAGCATGCTGGGTGGCCCGACCCCAGACTGCTGAGGCAGCTGCACAAGCTGGCTGGTCCCAGCGATGCTCGGGATTCCCTCGGGTCTCCTTCCACCCCAGTCACCTCTGACCCCATTTCCCATCCTGTCACCCTCCCCAAGGAGTAACAATTGGCAGGTGCTTTCAACCAAAAATGAAATAAAATAACAGTGCAGGATCAATTTCTTTGCAATCCATCAGCGAGTCTGTATCGATGGCATTGATAAACTGTTAATTACAAAATCAATGGCTATGAATTTTTTTTTCTGCTGTCAAAGAGCCCTAGAGATGGCTGGGAGGCAGGTGAGTGACAGCTGGCACACTCTCAAGGGACTGGGTCAGCCTCTGATGAGCTCTGCTCTTCTGCCAGGTACCCGAGGAGTCACCCCATCCACTTAGCCACAGGGGCCTCAGTGATCTCACGGCCATCCCTTCTCCAGCCAACATGCTCTGTAGGCTCCTGGGTGACTGTCCTGCCTTGAGACTATGACCTGCAGGGGCCTTGTCCACCAGCTCTCCCTTCCAGGATCACAAAGCACTAAATCTTTGAAACCAATGGACGGCAGAGTAAGGAGTCACTGGGGCAAGCAAGGGCCACTGCCATGGAAGGGAAGAATACATTCGTAATTCCAATAGTTGGAAGGCTGAGGCAGGAGAATTGTCCATGAGTCTAAGGCCAGCCTGGGATAAACGGTCAGTCCCAGGCTAGCCTGGGCTACAGAGTAAAACAATCTCAAAACCCAGAAAGATGCCGATCATTATTAGCTTGCTAATTACAGCAAACTGTCTAATGTAAGATATTAACAGTGGACCAAGCATGCTGGGGGTGAGGAGGCATGGGGACAACACATGGAATCATGGGATTTCATGCATTGTCTGTTTATAGAGCTACACAAAATAAAATAAATAAAATAAAATAAAATAAAAAACAACAACCTGTATTAGGTCAGGCTCCTGAGGAGCAGAGCCTAAGTCAGGGTTTGGGTTTAGTGATTTGTGAAGAGGGTGTTTTCAGGAAGAAGCAAGAAGGCAGGGGGCACGGAAGGAACAGACAACACAAAGCCAAGGCTTGCACCCACAAAGAGCTCTAAGGCAGACTGCTGTGCCATGTGAAGCCCCCATCAGCTGACAAGGCCGGCTGGGGATTGATGACATCAGGAAAGGCACCGGAGGGTTTAGTCTGGGGAGCTAACAGCAAGCAGCAAACACCACGGGGCTGAGGATGAAAAAGCTGTGAAGGAACATGGGTCTGAGCCATCAAGTGTCCCTGTATGGATGTGCTAGAAAGCCAGAGGGACCATGGTCCCAGTTTGTCAGCCACTCAAGGAGTTCCTAGGATATGAGACTTCCAGAGAGAGCCCGGCACGCATGGAGTGGGCCTCTCCTCCTGGGAGCCAGCTTTTCCTCTTCTGTGTGCCGGGATCACTATTTCCCCTGACACTGTAATAGCAGTGACAACAGTCAGTATTTACAGAGCTTCCTCTAGGCCAAGCAGTGAACTGAGTTATCCTCAGCTGATCTTCAGTACTCACAGGTGCTGGGAGGAGGAGGTACCACGAGTGCCTCCTACTCAAGGACAGAGTAACCAAGGTCAAGTCATCGGTGTCAGGGAAGGAGGGAAGATGGGAGAGACAGAGGGGGAAGGGATGGAGAGAGACAGATAGAGACAGAGACAGAAACGGGAGGGAGAGGTAAAGAGAGAGAGAGGGACAGAGAGGGGAGGGAGGGATGGAGGGAGGAAGAGAGAGAGAGAGAGCCAGTGCTGTTAGTGTCAGGAATAGTGTGTGTATGTGTGAGTGTGTGTGCATGTATATGCATCACATATGCATAGTGCTGGTGGAGACCAGAAGAGGGCACTGGATCCTTTGGAGCTGAATTAGAAGCCTGTGAGCTGCTATGTGGTTGCTGGGAATTAAACCAAGTGCTCTTAATTGCTAAGTCACCTCTTTAGCCCCAGAGACAAAATCTGAACTCAGGACCATCTGGCCCAGGCCAGAGCAAGGAACTCTGCCACATACTGCAGTACTGCAACTGTATGTACACATTTCCAGCATTTTATCTAGAGACCCTGTATTTCTCCCTGTCCCTAGCACCCAGCCAGCTACCTCCAGCTCCCTAGCACCCAGCCAGCTACCTCCAGCTCCCTAGCACCCAGCCAGCTACCTCCAGCTCCCTAGCACCCAGCCAGCTACCTCCAGCTCCCTAGCACCCAGCCAGCTACCTCCAGCTCCCTAGCACCCAGCCAGCTACCTCCAGCTCCCTAGCACCCAGCCAGCTACCTCCAGCTCCCTAGCACCCAGCCAGCTACCTCCAGCTCCCTAGCACCCAGCCAGCTACCTCCAGCTCCCTAGCACCCAGCCAGCACCTCCAGCTCCCTAGCACCCAGTAGACACCTCCAGCTCCCTAGCACCCAGCCAGCACCTCCAGCTCCCTAGCACCCAGCAGACTTCCTCCAGCTCCCTGGTACCCAGCAGACACCTCCAGCAGGACGGGGGCTCTAAGTGTGGACAGAGCTACCCAATGCCTCGCCCAAGAAAATCTAGTTGAAGTTGTAGGAAGTTCAAGATACGGAATAATCTCAAGACTTGAACACTAGGTTAACCATCCACGTGGGAAGTTAGATGGATTGTACCCAGGTGATCTGATGGGAAGAGTAGCATCTGTTCAAAAAGTAGCAGAAGCCTATGTTATCTGACAGTTAGATGACCTTGGGTTGGAGGCTAACTCTGACATTTCGCTTCTCGTTTTTTTAAAAATCTACACTGGCTAGCCAGGAACTCACTGTGTAGACCAGGCTAACTTTAAACTCAAGAGATCCTCCTGCCTTTGTCTTCTTAGTGTTAGGATTAAAAGCCAGTGCCACCACACCTGGACTAACCCTGGCACCTTTAAACAGTGGCACCCTTAAACTCTGGATAAATTTCCAACTTGTACCTCAATTTTCATGTCTATAAAACGGGATTATAATAAGAATTCTATACATAATGTCATAGCGAACTCTGCAAGCTGAGCACTTACTCCTGCGTACTAGGTATGTGGCTGACATAATTACATACACATTGCATGGAGTAAGGACTACTTATGGCTCAGAGTGAAGCAACTTGCTCAAGTGGTAGATGCAGACACAATCCTTAGCAATGGATTCAGAATCTACAACCTTTGGTTTCTGCAAGTAAAAGACCTAAGAAATACAAAACCAGCACTGACCTCCATGACAGCCCTTCCAACCCCAGGTCACCCTTGCCGTGTATTGTGGTTTAAATGAGAAATGTCCCCACAGGCTCATGGATTTGAACATTCTGTTCCCAGCTGGTGGTGTACTGGGGGAAGAGATGGAACCTTCCGGAAGTGGGGCCTTGCTGGAGGACCAGCTTTGAGGTCCACAGTCTCGCGCTTCACTTCCTGGTTCACTCTCTCCACTCCCTGAGTGTGGATGAAAATGCCGTCTCTCTGCTTCCTGCTGCCACACCAATCCTCCTCTCCCTGCTCCGGTGGCAGATTCTATCCCTCTCGAACCCTGACCCAAAAATAAACCCTTTCTTCTGTAAGCTGCTTTTTACCACAGAAAGAGAAAAGGAAATAGCATGCAGTGTTCACTGATAACAGCAATGCCTGTCACCCCCCACCCATCACAGTCCGAGCTGGGCTTGCCAGGCTCCCACGCCACCCTTACCTGAGTTGGCCAGAGCCAGGGCCTTGAGTGTCACAAACTCCTCCTTCTCCACCTTCAGCTTCTTGTACCTGCGCACCAGCTGCAGGATGGCGCGGTAAAGCTCCTGCAGCCCCGCCAGGCGGGAGTGCTCCTCGTCCATGATATAGTCCTCCGCGTACACCAGCTTATCATCGTAGGGCAGTGAGCGGTACACAATGCCCAGGATGAGGATCTCCATCCAGGCACTCTGCAGCAGGCTCATCTGGTCTCCAAGTGACAGATTCGAGAAGCCTGCAGAGGATGGAGAAGTGGACGATGATCAGAAGTGGGCCCCGGGGCTTCCCTGGGGCGGACTGGTGGGGGGGCTGTTTGCTTGCATCTCCAGACCCTGCTGGGGGTGGGGAACCATGTGGTGCTGTTGCCCTCCCCTTGGTAAATGAGTCACACCAGAATTCCTGGAAAAGACTTCCAGAATGAGAGCTGGGTCAATGTTGACAGTTATTATCACTATGCTTGTTGGCTCTAGGTCTTGCCCTGTGTCCTGAGACGCATGGCCATGTGCATTTGCAATTGAGGGAGCTGCTGAATTAATAGCAGGATCTGGGGGCTGCAAGATGGGATCTCTAACTGCTCACTCCAAGGAGGCTCTCTATTTTAAAACAGTACTAGATCCTAATGTAGTTTCCAGACAGGAAGGAAGGTTCAGCTGTCCATGACCTGGGCAGAATCGCCTGGGACCAAAGGCAGAGGCTGCTGGGAGGGGAAGGCTCCATACAGCCTGTTAATTGGCACTTCCCCGTAAGACTCAGCAGCCATGCCCTGGAAGCTGGCATTGAGGGGACACAACCCTTTCCCTCCAGTGAGGAGAAATGGGGTTAAAAGGGCTGTGGAATCATGACACTGCATGGTCCAGGGTGCTATGTGAGATTACCTGGGTTGGACTCTGATTGCCCAGGTACTAGCCTTGCCCAGGTACTAGCTGTGGGCTGACCTTCAGGAGGCCATGCAACTTCTGCAAACGTTGACCTCTCTAACCTCTGTCCGTTCCATGAAATGGGCACGAGAGCAGGGGATGCTTCAGAGTGTAGCCGTGAGCTACACAGGAGGACAATTACAGAACACACGAGCTCCTCTTAGTGTTGAGAGGAAGCCCTGTGTCTGCCAGATGAGGGTGACACGCTGGGACAGCACTGTGTGCGGACTTGATTTAGGCAAAGTCAACTAATAGCCTGATTTATGAGAAAGCAACAGGGAAGAGTAAGTTTGCTAATTTCAAATCATAAAAACTAAACAGGAGGTAATAACTTCTCAGGGGGGCTCATCCAGAAACGGGGAGATTAGTCTAACTCGAAGCAAGCTAGATTTATGGTGAGAAGAAAATAGCTGGGCATGATGATGCACGCTTACAATCCCAATCCTTGGGAGGAGGATCTGGAGTTCAAAGCCAGCCTTGGCTACAAGAGACCCTGTCTCAAAGCAAACAAACACATAAAACAGGGCTGGGAATACAGTGCAGCTGTTGCGTGTCTGCCTACATGTGTGAGGCCCCAACTTCAACTCCTAGTGCTGGGGAGTGAGGGAGGGAATCCACAAAACTGTATGCACAACGTGCCATGTGCAACCGAAACGAAGGAATTTGTTTTTGGGTAATTCTGCTAACGAAAAAATTTGCTAACTTCAGACAAGCCCTGCCTACTCACTGTTTGTGAGACATTGGGGTGCCATGAGGATGAAAGGGCATGGATGAGACCCCAGATCACTGGGGACACACAGTGAGCCACCATCCTCCCGCCAAGGATGACTGAGGAAGCCGCCACTCTCTTTTATTAGTGAGGTCATTATTGCTTCCTTGCCTTGGATGACCTATCTCTTAGGGTCTGTGTGGCCTCTATCCTGCTTCCCAGCCAGAACAAGAGCTCTCCCTCTTGAAGGTCCATCTGGAAAGAAGTATACCAGAAGGGAGGCACACCTAAAGCTGAAGGCCATTTACCTTACCTTTCTCTTATGAGCCCTGACCTCTCCATACAACCCGTGCCTCGGGTGCCTTGGATCACTACTGTCAGCTGTCAGCTGGTCACCTATGGGTGACCAATCACAGAGGAGGAGTGTTACCACCAACTAGGGGGAACTCCAGTGACTGTGCCTCCTTGTGGGGGGTACATGACACAGGGGTTAAGTTGTGTGTCTGTTGCTGCCCACGTTCCTAGTAGCACGGGGGGGGGGGGGGTATGTGGCAGCCTTTGGGGGCCCAGAAAGCCGGAGGTAATAAAAGATAGATAGAAATGGACATCCAATTTTCCTTATCAGGTCCCTGAGTAGGAGAGAGGCTTTGGTGACATTAATTAGCAGATACCAATCAGCCAGCATGGGAGGGTGTGGGTGGGGAGGAGGCGGACTGTACAGGGCGGGGTAGTCGGAGAGCAGAGAGACTGGGGAGGGTGGAGGAGGCACACAGAGGTGAATTCACAGACAAATGAAATGGAAGGAAGAGCAGGTGGGCATGAGACAGCAAGGCTCTGGGGGTTAAAAACAGGCTGGTGAGGGATATCTCTCATGACCTCTGCAAAGAATGTTACAAGCAGGCTTCTGCCCCTCTCTGTGCCCCTGGGGACCCATGGTTTTACTCAAACCCTAACTCCCAGCTTCTGTCCACAGTGAGGATGTTACAGGTCACTAAATGTTACCAAGCAACATGGTGACAAACACCTTTAATTTCACCACAGGGATACATAGAGAAACCTTGTCTCCAAAAAGAAAGGAAGGAAGGAGGGAGGGGAGGGGAGAGAAGGAGAGGGAAGGGCAAGGGAAAAAGAAAAAAAAGGGAGGGAGGGAGGGAGGGAGGGAGGGAGAGAGAGCTTCAATGACTGGAAGCTTCTGAGAACACGCAAATGGCAGTGTTGCTAAGGATTAGGTCCAGGGAGACCCTGCACAAGTGACCTGGGGACTATGCTCTAAAGGGACACTCCCCAGGGGTACAGACACACTCCTGAGCCCTGACATCCAAGCGCCTGGAAAGTGCAGCCACCAGACACAGGGCTGCTTGCCTTCCTGCCCACCCTGTCTGATAAATAGTCACAGCAGAGGACAGACAGATGTCATGGCCTGACCCTGAGATAGCAGGAAAACAACCCAAAACACTTGCTTATATCCCATGTAATGGTCATGTAAGAGGCTGGCCTGCTCTAGGGAGCGAGGGGGAGGGGAGACAGCCCCTTGGAAAATCCTTTACTCTGGGAGAGCATTCAGAAGGGTGGGTTTCCTCCCCTGGGCCAGCTGAGTGTGTGGTCTGAGCAGCAGGCTCACCCTCTAAGGAGGGAGTATGTTCTCTCTGACAGCTGAGAAGTCCTGGACAGAATTCTGAAAACCCCAGCCAGCCTGCAGTGTGTGTTGTCAGCATTTAAAAACCATTTTAATGCTTTCTAATGCTTGAGGAAAACACTAGAAGGGAAAACAGGAGTAGACACTGCTAGCTCTAGGAAAGGACTGGGTGGCAATGGGAAACGGGGCGCTGTTAGATCACCTGCAGAAAGGATGCCGGGCAGAACACTATGGAAATGCAGCTTGTGATACGTGTATTTACTAGACAAACACAACAGTTAATTAATGAGCCACCGCCAAGTGTGAGGCAGAACTATTTGTGGATGTGCAAACACACACCAGTGGTACAGACGCCAGAGCCAACCTGTCACTCTGCTAACCACTAGAGGTGACCCACCTCCGACCCTGTGTATCTACAGGGTAAAATGGGACAGAGGACACCATGTTAGGGGTGCTGAGGTTAAATGTGTGGCCACACAGAACACTTTTCGGTCTGCAGACAGGAAATGCAAAAGTATTAAATGTCATGCCGTTCATGATACAGTAGGGGACTACAGTGTTAAAATGTGAGCCCTTGGGGGGGGGGGAGATACAGGGAACACACGCAGGGAATTCCCAGAAGGCTCCCACGTAGGGGCCTTAGAGGTTTTCACATTCACTTCTGGCCTTTGCAAAGTAGATTCTTATCCTTTGTTACTTAAAAGGCAAGCAGCTGGTGTTGCCCGCCTACTACCCCCCCCCCACTTGTGTTTCCAATTGGGTTGGGCCCCTATCAATTCATGGGGGATGGAGGGCCAGCAAGGCCCCTGCAGCAGGAGGTCTGAGAGAGGCTCTGGTGACAAGGCTGCCCAGCCCAGGGCCCCTGGCACACAGGTCTCCCTCTCTGTGCTCTAGGGCTCCGGGAAAACTGTTATCTGCACCAGTGGATCTAATAACAGCTGGCCCCATCCCCCATGACACTATGCACTCCTAGAATTAAAAAAAAAAAAAAAAAAAAAAAAAGCACGTAATTTGTGGCAAGTGGAGTTCATAATCTGCTAATTTATGATGGTCTCTGCCGACCTGGAGAGCCATTAGAGAGGTAATAAAGGGAGATGTAATTACAGGATCCGGGGCCACTTCAGACACAGCTGCTGTCACTCGGCAGCTCATCCTTCATCCCGCCAGACGGCGGTTCCTCAGGAGCAGGCTGTCCAAAGAACCTTCCTGAAGAGGCCTCTGGGGATCCCCTGCACACAGCAGCCTGAGCTGGGCACTGGAGGCGACTCTCCATGAAGGCTTTCCTGGCCAGGGTGGAGTCCCTGCTGCCTGGGGAGGGCAGACTAGTGGCGAACAAGCCTGCTACTCCTTGAACTCGACCAGCAGCCCAGGCAAAGACTGTTGTTGCTTGGATGGCGGGAGTAAGAGGTCGCTGTTCTCAGGACTAGGGCTTGCCCTCCAAGAAGCTCAATACTTGGGAAATTCAACTCAGCCAAAACTGCATTTCCAGTAGTGAAACCTCAAAGCGACCCAAGCAATAACCAAGAAAATTGCTATTTTACCATCAGCCCGGCACTGAAAAGGTGGAGGCAGAAGGATCACTCCAAGTGTGAAGCCTGCTAAAGCTACGTAGTCACACCTTGTCTCCAGAAGAGAAAACCTTCGGAGGTTTCAGTTCCCCAAGGTCAACTGGGTATGAACACAGGAAGTAGAAAAGTCCAGAAAATACTTAAGTTTAAGTGATCTGGGCCACCCTGCTCTACTCTGTTCCATACAAAAATCGGGCTGTTTTCTGGTGTATCCTTGCTGTATAGGCCGCCTGCCTGTTTCCTAATTTGGTATGATTCGGTCTGATTGGGATTATTGCATCGGTGGAGAGGCTCATCAGGGCACAGAAACTTTTCAGCCTGTCCCTCTTACTTGGCACAGACGTGAGAAACACACGAGCAGGAAGACTGAGTTGTCAGGAGCCAACTTTCTCCTAAAATCATTTCAGGAACCATCGCCCTGGGGAGTCTGCAGAGAACCCCACACCCATAATTGTGTTAAGAATCATTCTATTGATAGAACCTACCCCACACCCAATTAAGCTGTTAATGGAAAGCTATCTGTTAGTGGAACCTGCCCCACATTCCAAACTATCTAGAGAACTAGGTGTGTCAACTCGTGACTTCTCGGCCTATGTGACCTGACCGAAAGTAGTAACCTCCTGGCCAACGTGGCCAACGTGAACCACGTGGCCAACATGAACCACGTGGCCAACATGAACCACGCAACAAGAGACCAGGCCCTTGTGCTCCCTCCCCAATTCCTTACCCTATATAAACTGTAAACCTGTCCCTAGTAAACAGAGTCTCTGGACAAACCTAGCATGGCCTCCTTCCCCTCTCTCGCTCACATCTTCCAGATAGCGCCTCTCCAGGACCCTGGAATAACTGACTGCAGGGTGGGTTACAACCCTAGACTAAGTAACCCACCCAAGGCAATCTACACTGAGTCTCCTGGAAGCTCCTTTCCCCCAGGTGTTATGGGTAAGGCTCACAGAAGGAAGATGTACTGACCCAGGAGACCGCCAGGCGCCACTCCTGAGCTGTCCCTCTGAAGGTGTACCTAGCTGACCCCAGTAGTAGTCTACGGGCTGGGCTGGGGTGGCTGTGCCCAATTTGGCTTGGGGTCAGTGGAGCAATCCAGGCTGAGGTATCTTAAGCATCGGCTTGACACCACATCTGTGCTGAGGCAGCACGGGGCAGATTTAAAAACGACTGAGTGTGTAATCCCGGGAGACTGAGCTGAGCTCCTTATGAAGGACGTACTAGCCAGGTGCCTGGGCAAACACACACAAGGCTTAGGGTGCTAAGGGACCTCTAGGCTTGCCGAAGGCTCGCGTCGGCAACATCTCCAAGCCCTGTCCACAAGTTGGTGTCTTCCTGAGGGGCACCCGTGAGTCTCACAACAGTGAGACTCACTTCAGTCAAGTGATGTACAGCTTTGTTACATTACCACGTGTGCTATGCTCGTCTCCTAGGACCACAGCTGACAAAAGACAATCTACAGACACAAAGATAAAGCCATGTGTCATGTAGCTAGAGAGTCTGCACGGAAAAGGGTTCTCTGACTGAGTGGACCCCAGTGCTGGAGGACAGGGCAGGACCTTAAATTGTACAGAGAAAGGCCCCCCTATGTGTGCAACATGGAATTCCATGGGCTCCACCATTCACCCAGACCGAGAGAGGCTCACAGTGGGGCTCAGGCCTGAGATACACCGTACATGCAGCGCTGCTCCTGCCCCTGATGCTCAACAAGGAGACCAGGTGGCCATGGCGAGGATACAAGTGAGGATGGCACATGACAGACTCCACACCTCAACCCGCAACCTCATTTCACCCCGTGTTTATCTACTCCCATTCCACAGGTCACGTGACAGGCTTAGGTCACAGAGCTTCTGGGTCTAGAATCTGACCGGGACCCAACTCCTAAGGCCCTGCTCCTAACGCCTCCCAGCCTGCAGCTACTGTAAAAGAAGAGAGCATTTCCCACTGTAATGCCAGTGAACTCCAGGAGACACCTACTGTTTTGTCTTGAGGGTTTAAGGACCTTGCTTTCCAAATATTCTCAACTGTCTACCCCATACAGCAGGTTCTAATAAGATGGCAAGCCGTTCTGATGAGCCCCAGGGAAGCTCACAAACATTCCTGAACCTTCTGCATATTACTCCCCAAATCCCATAGAGGAGAGAAGGGCCGTTAAGTGGGGTGGCAAAGGTCGTCTAGGCTTCTTCGGGCCAGGCACCAAACATCAAAGGCACAGCTACCGGACGGACGGGGTGAGCCTAGAGTCCCTTACCACTCTTGCCCCCACCGCACCACGACTCACCTGGGATGTGTTTGGCCCAGCCGATGATGACCACCAGCTCCCGATCTGCCAAGTCACAGAGAGTAGTCAGGGCCTTGATATCTCCCTCAGGCATACCAGGGGGAGGCATAGCATACAGCTTGTCGGGTTCAGCCACCAGTAGATAGGAGACGATTTTAGCCACTGCAATGACCAAAAAGGGAGCAAACAGTAAATGCCTGGGACAGAAGGGGTAGTGTCAGGCTGAAGCCCTGGGGGTCAAAGGTGGCTGGCATCTGTCTGTTCCCTGACATCACAAAGCTGCTGGCAGCAGTAAGGAGAGCATTGAGGTGTCTTCAGCAATGGGCAGCTGCTCAGAGGACCCTGGCACAGCCGTTTCTAGGAGGGCATGGAGACAAGGCCTGGGTGCTGGGGTTCTTATTTCACATGGAGGCCAGTTCTGTACCATTCCATATAGACAGGGCTTCTGATGAAGCTAGCCAACACCGGGCACTGTTGGCCGTCTTTAGATCCACAATGAATGGCCCCAGGAGGATGCCCGATATTCCAGTCAGAGAAGGGCAGGGGGTGAAGGGATGGGGAGGGGGCTGCCTGGCACACACTTGGTTTTTTGGCAGGTGGGGAAATCTGTAAGCTCAGGTAGGGGCCGTTCTCGGAGTCCAGCCGTCGCTTGTACTTCTGGCGACCTCCACGCACTCGGTCAAGGCGCACACCTGTCAGAGAAGAGAGATGTTTGCTATCAAGAGCTGTTCCAAATTTCCAGGGAAGGAGGCACTGACTTAGGATCTGTAGCCCTGGCTAAGAGCTTCAAGGCCATCCAGTCTCATGGAAGACAGCATCTGAAATAACAGCCCATCTCACCTGCTAGCCTGGTCCTGTCTGTAATGGTTTAGAAAAAAATGGTGCAGTTCCCCGAGGGGCAGCAGCAAGCAGCGGGCCACTGTCTGCCTCTCCGTGTGCAGCTCCCCCTAAAATCACCCTGAAACCGCAACCCTCTGAGCCCTCATCTCCAAAAGGAAGGCACAACAAAGCCTATCTCAGTTCTGCTTTGTATCCAGGGAGGGCCGAGTTCACGAAGCTGGGGAAGAGGGGCTAGCGAGGTAGGTTAGTTGGTACAGATGAAGGCGTAAGTCACGAACAAGGCCACACCAGTTGGAGTTATGGTTAATAGGGTGTTATTTATTTAAAGGGGAAAACTTACAGATCACCGTCCTAGACAACAGCCATCTGCACAACCAGGAAGGGAGTCTAGTCTCCGGCGGAGCAGGAAGTGAAGAGAGCGAGCAGAGGAAATAGCCGCTTTTTTAAAGGGAGAGAGACCACGCCCCAATGGGCTGGTATCACAGCAGCTATTGGTTGGAGGGGCGGAAGGACCTCCCGCAACACCTCCCCCTTTTATTTAAGTAAGAGAGTTCTAAACCTACTATGAAATTATATACAATAAGTACAAATATCCTATTCTAACTAGCTTAGGTCTTGTATAATAAATAACTTGGCCAAGTCGTGAGAAAAAAGTAACTACATTTATGTAGTCTTCAACCCCACCAAAGATCTGAGAAGGGAAATAATGTTAACTGGGTAATTAGGAAGTTCAGTAAAACAACTTCCAAAACATGCAACAAATCACAGAGACAACTAGCTACCTGGGCAATCACCCAAAGTCATGTTTGCAGCGTTGAAGCAACCAACTTTGGCTAAGGCCTAACATAACTGACATACCATTTTCAAATGCAAGCAACTTTTCAAAACTATCTTACCCTGTCTTGGCAGGATATGACACTCCTGTTTTATTTATTGATGCACACTCTGTATCTCTGTCAGTTGTTGAGGTATGGGCATTTCTTTGCCCCAAGGCCAGTTCTGCCAAAAAGAAAGGCTCCAGGTGGAGTGTCTTTGGTGCTCAACATTCTCTCGGGAATAGAACGGTGTTGCCAGGAGCAATTGTGTCTCACTACCACAAAACTCTGAGTTAGATTAAAGGCCATATTCTATAGCTCTTCAAAGAGGTTGAAGATTATCTATCTATACTGAGTATAATCTCTATATATCTAAAGAACCTGATTAGTCTAATTATAAATGACAAACTTAGATGACTATTAATCTATATAATTCTCAATATCATATACACAGCCCTAGCTTCAGTCCCCAACACTTGCATAGAAAACAGGCAGAGCGGCATGTGTCTGTCATCCCAGCAGTCGGGTGAGGACAGGAAGATCGGGAGGAAATCCATGGTCGGCAACACAGAGAGTTTAGAGCCAGCCTGGGCTACAGGAGTAAAAAGGCACAGAAGACAGTCTTCCGAGAAAGCCTCAGCTTCTAAATTCCTCTAAAGCTTAACTCCTATTCTTTCCCCTAGAGGTAAGAGTATCCCACCTAAGGCCTGCCCTTCCCTTTTCCAGGAAGACCAGCTGATCTGGAAAGAGAGACAATGAGCTTTCTCAGCAGTCTTAGCCTGCCCACTTAACTCAGTCCAGCCCACCTGGCTGGAGAGAAAGCCAAAAAAAAAAAAAAAAAAAAAGCCACTTGATAGAAAGGTGATTTACATCTCACTTGGGCTGTGGGCCACTTCTTTGATAGTAAATACAGCTAGTTACAGACAGATAGCCCTAGGGAAAAGAGGAAGCTGCCTAGAGAACCGCTTTTGTAGGTGGGACAATGCCTTTGGGACTAAGGAGTCCGGGAAGACACCACACACCCACACCCCAGTTTCAATAAAAGGCTGCAGCCCACAGCCACTCCAAGAGAGTGTTGGAGGTGCTGGAGCTTCAGAGATAGGAGCCAAGTCCAACAAGAGGGAACTGTTTACACTTAAGAAGCCAGTTACTTCTCAACCACACCTAGTGACCTCCAAAACTGGCCTTGAGTTTTGGATCCTCCAGTTTCAATCTCCCAAGGTGGAGATTATAGGCCTGCACCACCTAGTTTACACTGCACAACAAGGGATGGACTAAAGGGCCCCCTGTGTACCAAGCCAGCACTGGACCATACATTATCCTTAGCTTGCTACACTGGCACTCCTGTAACAGGTGGCGCACAGGCTGTAGGCTACAGGGGACGAGCAGACCCAGCATCTGGCCCCTAATTCCCATTTGGAGGGTCGTCTTGTTGGGCTCTGTGCTGCACTCCCACTGACCTGGGTTCTTCATCCCCCCCACCCCGCCCAGATAGTCTCAAGTACCTCCAGCTGGCCTCCAAATCACTGAGTAGCCAAGAAGTTCCTGAACTTGAGAGTCTCCCGTTTCTCTTTCCCCAGTACTGGGATTATAGGCATGTTACACTATGTGAAGTTCTTGCAACACTGGGGTTTAAACCCAGGACTTTGCGCCTGTTGGACAAGAACTTACTAACCAAGCTATACTCCCAGTCCCAAAATAAACATCTTACCAAGATGAGTTAGGAGATGCAGAGCCTGTAGGCACTGCTCCTGGGGTACCCTGGTGGACCTGCTCTACATTCCACCTCCCTCACCATCCTGGCCCTTAGGGGACACAGGAAACAGCTCAGTCTCCCAGCACAAACCTAACCCTACAGGCTCCCGTAGCTCACAATTGTCCCCCACTCCTGAAATCCCCTCTAATGGAGGCAGAGACACAACAAGGCACGAGACCCCTGCTTACTGTTCTTCCACCTGAGCTCAGGCTACCCCCTTGAAATGCCACACAACCCAGAGTGCAACCCTACTGCATTCAGAGGACACTGAGGGCCCATGGGCACCCCCTCCAGTGCCAGAGGCTGATATGCACTCTTATTCTTGAGTCCAAAGGGGGGGCCTATCCCACTTCCCCCACAATCCACTCCAAGGGACTCTCCTCTCCCCCTAGCCTACCCTAGAGAGAGACCTTTGAAACAGGTAAGCTAGAGAGAGACCTTTGAAACAGGCTAACAGGTTAACAGGGGGCAGCTAACACCTCTGCTACCCCTTCTTGAATGTTCTGACTTGATTAAAGACCTTGGTGGGTGCTCAAGAAAGTCCTGATGAGAAAGAGCACCACCCTGCAACACACACCAGGTGTTTCTTCACAGTACCAGGGCATCCCCTACTGGTTCCGTGTCCCTTAAGGTCAGGAGCTGCATGTGGCCCACTTTGGGTTCTGGCATGGAGCCTGGTAGCCAGCAGGTGCTTAGGAAAACACTGTGTTCAATTTTCTGGTAAGTCATATCAACAATGGTTAACAGCATGGCTCACAGAAGACTTTCTATATATATTACACCGTCTAACCCACAACATACGGACTGGCTGCCATTACCCCATTTAACAAATAAGGAAAACAGGTGGAGGGGCTGGCTGGCTTGCCTGCTAAGAGTCAGTACCCAAACCTATTTGCCATTCCCAGGAGTGGCCTTCCAGGACACATCTCAAGGACTCAGACCCACCCTGGCATTTCCCCTCCAGTTCTTTATAGCCAGGCACCCAGCGATGCCAATGGTTATCAACTGCCATGTCAGCTTCTCTGGCTGGAACTAACTAAGGATCGCACGTCAAAGATCGGCGCAAAACGGGTCTGTTCTCACTGTTTTTACGCTCTTGTCCAAATCCAAACCCATGAAGTCTATGACCAGGGAACCCGGGGGTCATGCTCATGCTGACATAGTCCCTGACACTTGGAGAAGGAGGTTCAATACTTCACGGTCATCCTTGAGCTTGGGAGGAGGGAACCCATTCTGCTGGGAGTCCAGGCTTTCCTGAAATTTTAATACTCTTGAGGCAGGAGCGTTGCCAAGGAGTTCCAACAGCCCGGGAGCTACATTTCACTAGCTGCTCCCAGAGCCACCTCAGGTTTGCTCCCATCATGCCTCTCTGTACTCCCTACAGCCCTGTACGACATTGGTCAGGATTTGCTAATGATTACTTGGAGCGGAGGCCATGGGCCTGTGCCTCTCACTCTGTGGAGCACAAATCAGGAAGAGTCAGTGCCAACCTCCAAATTCAATGACCTTGCCCTTCTTGCCGAAACCGCCTGGAAACAGTTGCTTTTCTGGATTCTCCCCATGAAGGCCTTCCTGGATCATGACTTTTCCTGAGAATTCTCTGGCCTCCCTTTGTTCGCTCTCGTTACAGAACCACCACCCCACGTGCAGTTACGGGTGAGTGTGCCCTGACAAGCCCAGTACTGAGCTGTGGTGGCCAACGAGGAGGCTGACGTGCTCACCTCAGACAGCTTCTGTCAGGAGCCATTTCCCCCAAAATGTATTGCAGGGACCATTGACTTGGGGATGTTTGCCGAGAGCCCCACACCCCAACTGTATTGAGAACTGTTCAATGGTGGAGCCCACCCCACACCCAACTATCTTGAGAGCTATCTGTTAGAGGAACCAGCCCCACATTCCAACTATCTAGAGAACTGTTTGTGGTTGGAATCACAAAAGGGACGATTCTGCTTGCATAGAGAACACTAGGTGTGTAGACTCGTGACCAAGTGTCGACTCGTGACCATTGCTGCCCGGGCAAGATCCCATGCCACTGCCCCCTGCCCCCATCCCAAGCCAAAGGGCTATATAAGCTGCTGCCATTACGCTAATAAACAGAGGCTCTGACAAGAGAATTTTGCTTGGCCTCGTCCCTCTCTCTTGCCCATGTCTTTTTCAGACAGCGCCTATTCGGGATCCTGGAATTAACTGACCTGCCAGGCGGGTTACAACCCTAGACTAACTGACCCGCTGGGCGGTTACAGTGGCTCCCGAACCAGGAACTTGAAGCACGGCCAACTATCGGACGCGCAGTCCCAGGACGACACGATCAAGAAGAGAAGGTTCTATCGGACGAGGTAGGCGCAGGTTCATCGTCGTCCAATAGACATGTGAACAGTTAGTCTCAAAGGAAGAGAAATTTATCAGGAAGAGAGGAGTAAGAGTCAAAAAGAGAGATTTATGTGTTTGCTTGCAGACTCAAAAGGCAGTCCCTCGAGATGCGAGAAGTAAGGGTACAATCCACACAGCCACGCCAGCCAAGCAGGCTGGCTGCTAGGGCTACAGAGCCTATGTCTTAACCCCCTGCCACAAGGAGCAGAAGTTGCCAGGCAGGTTTGCTATAAAGAAAAAAACTCAAAAAGTTACAGCTTCAGGACAGTAAAAGGAGGTTAAATATGCTTCTTTTCCATTTTATAATTTTGCTTCTTGGTCAAACATCTTTAGTTTGTAGGCATATAAATTTATATCCAAGGTAGATTAATTTCAGTACTGTGGTTCTGTAGGAAAGTTTTACAATCAAAGATTGTAATACATTCATAGGATTTTAAAATTGTTTAGGCTATCCTGAGTTTTTATTTCTTTCTTATTGAGGTTTGTTCTTTTGAGTTCTATGAAAAGTTTTGTTATAATTTTAATGAACATTTACATTAAATCTGTGAGTTCTGTGAGGAATGTTGCTATAAGTTTTAATGGACATTTACACTGAATCTGTAGATTGCTTTCAGTGAAATTGTCATTTTTGCTGTATTTCTTCTACTTTCCCAAGAAAATAGGAGATCTTTCAAGAGTTAAAGTTCTTATCATACAGGTTTTTCCATTTTGTATAGCCCACTCTTGGGTGGGAGTTGTATTGTTTCAGCTTGAGGTCCTTTCCTGCTGCCAGGTGTTGCTTCAGGGTGGACTGCTGAGACCCAGGCCTCTTACAAAATTTATCAAGGGCCAGAGTGATAATGGTTAAAAATAAAAAACATTTCCGCCTTCACATGCAGAGATGACAGAACCCAAACTTCTGTCCTGCTTGCTTAGAGTTACTCCAAGATATTTTATAAATTTATGGATATTTAAAAGGATGATGTCTCATTTATCCTAGGTGTAAAAGAGATACATTTGGGTTGTTTTCAGATTCTGGCTATGATAAAGTAGTTCTGCTATGGGAATAGCTGAGCACATGTCCTTATGGTATGGTTAAACAACTTTTGTATTTAGGCCCAAAAGGTGTATTGCTGAGTTTTAAGGTAGATATTTGCCTAATTTTAAAAAAATAGCCATAATGGGGGGCCCCTAGTACTGGGGAGACTCTCACTCGGGTCTCGGGATTGCGCCGCTCCCCCCCCCCCCCATGGCTTGCCGAGGCTCATAACCTGCGCAGGGGAGGAGTTCGGCCCCGAGTGACCGGGAAAAGGAGTTTTTGAGGAAAGAGGCCACAGCCTAGTGGTCCAGGAGGGTCATAAAAAATTCAAAAATCCAGTGATGGTCACAAGGGGGCAACTCCCTGCCTCTCGGGACCACTCCCAGGGTCTTGATCTGCTAGTTCCCTAAACAGTGATAATCGCAGGGAGGGGGAACTCCCTGTCTCTCTCAGGATTGGGGTCTGGCTTTGTCTTCAGCTAGTTCCTGGTGCAGGGTCACTCACTGAACCGGGTAGTCCTAGATTTTTGATTCCTCTCTTCCTGCTGGGGGAGTCTGGAGTTATCCAGGTCTTTCAATACTTCCAAAAGTGGCTGTGCCAGTTTACACTTCCAGCAATGGAGTTTTTTCTTTACCCACATTTTCTTAAGCATAAATTGTTAATAATAATTTTTAATCTTGGTCATTTTTACAAGGATAAGGTAAAATCTCAGAATTTTTATTTTCATTTCTCTGATGGCTAAAGGATGTTATGTTTGAGCATTTTTTAAGTGTCTCAGTCATTTTTAAGTTTGTCTGTTGAGCGTTTTCAGTTTAGGTCTGTAACAAATATTTTTATTGGATTAATTTTTTGATAACTAATTTCCTGAGTTCTTCATATATTTTTGGAATGGGTTTATGACAAGTAAGGATCTTTTCCCACTCTATAGTCTTGCTATACAAAAGCTTCTCAGTTCAGGAGATCTCATTGTTTTTCCCAATGTGTGTGCCACTGAGCCTGTGTTTGAGATGTGCCAAAATGTACTTCTAAATATAATTTTTATATGCTGAGGTCTTTGACTCATTTAAACTTGAGTTTTGTACATGGAGATGGATATGGATCTATTTTTATTCTTCTACATGTTGATGTCTAATAAGGCCTAAATGATTAGTTAAAATGCTTCCTTTTTCCATTTTCCTATCTGCGAGGCAGACTAGCCACTTAAGAGGAGGATAGCTTATAAACTTTTAATTAGATATTTAATGGTTAAAGTCCTACTTATAATATTCTTATGGGAGACCTTGAGCCGCTAGGTAAAATTCTTACAAAAAACAGTTTCCAATAGAGAGCTTATAAAATCGTTATCCCAGGCTTCTTGCTAGGAATAGAAAGCCAGCGCTTGGGAAGCAGAGGCAGGAGGATCCACACTTCAAGGTCTTCCTCAGCTGTATAGCCAAGTTTGAGTCCAGTCTGGGCTACACGGGACAGAAAAGATAGGAAGCAACTTCATTTGCTGATGCTTAAGCTGGCTACCAGAGGGTCTGGCACAAGTCATCTCCTCTGACTGATATGAGGGGCAGTTACTCCTAAATTGGGTTGTAATTTCCAAATGCCAAGTGGGGAGAGAGAGAAAAGGGAGTCTTGAAATAAGAATGCCTATGTTTGTATACTTATACTGGCAAAATACCCAAAAAGCACAGTCAGGAAGTGCAATGAAAACACTAATTAACTTATAGGTTACTGTCTGAGATTATCAGATCCTATCATTGAGATTTTCCAAATATAGAAAGGTATTAATAATGCTAATATGGAAATCAGTGCAGATCTCCAAATACTAAATAACACATGACCTTTGTTTGAACGACTGTAGGATACCGCTTAACCCATTCGGATGTACGGAGAACTTTAATGCTTTGACGATATCTCGTGAATATAAAAAAAGATTGGTAATCAATGCAATTCATGGCCCTGGGAAAACAGAGTCCTTGAGTTTGGGCCAGTGCTAGACGTCTGGACAAGTGTGATAGCTTCCTAGCATAGGTAGAGGGGACAGATACTCGAGCGGTACAGGGTAAGCATCTTCACCTCTTTGTACCTCCACTTCCTGGGACTGGGATGGGGTGATGGGGTAGTGGTGCCTACCTCACGGGGCTAACAGCTCATTTAAACCCATGTCAATTCATGCAAACACTTGAAAAACCTCCAATGGCAAACAGTAAATGTTAAATAAATGCTAACACCACTGCTAAAAATACCTCATCCTTAAGGATGCTCTCTGTCTGTCACACAACGTCAGCATCTTGGCCGTGTATTAGATTTCCAAGGCACTGTGATGGGGAATTGGGGGAAGCGTAGATGGAATTGTTCTGTATTTGCTTACAACTGTAACTCAATGATCTCAAAATGAAAAGTTAACGGGCGGTGGTGGCGCACGCCCGTTTAATCCCAGCACTCGGGAGGCAGAGGCAGGTGGATCTCTGTGAGTTCGAGGCCAGCCTGGTCTACAAGAGCTAGTTCCAGGACAGGAACCAAAGGCTATGGAGAAACCCTATCTCGAAAAACAAAACAAAACCAAAAACCAAAAACCAAATGAAAAGTTAAAAAACTTCTGGAAAATGCTGGCAGAGGTGTAGAAGGGTTTATGTGTAGGCAAGGGGGAAATACACCAGCGTTCACTGCAGCGCAGCAGCACAGCTCATGGGAGCCAACATCAGAGGCAGCCTCAGCGGGCATTAGCAGCCATGAGCAAACAACGTGGTTTATACATGTATATTACTCAGTCACTCGGAGTGAAATCAGCCAGACACAAAAAGGCAGCGATGGTCCAGTTCTACCTTTGAGGCTTCTGGAGTCCTCGAGGTCAGACAGAAAGCAGGCCGGACACCGGGGATGGGTAGAAATCTGGGATGAAGAGTTAGTAAGCACTGGGTCCCACTTGTAGCAGGTGCAGGGATTTCGTGCTTGTAATCCCAGCGCTTGAAAGGCTGAGGCAGAAGGATCAACCTGAGTTCCAAGTTAGCTTGGGCTTTAGAGTGAGTTTCTGGTCAGCCTTAGCTACCCGAAGACCCCATCTCAAAGTAAAATAAATTTCAAATTGCCAGGCATGACAGCGACGGAGCCCAGCAGCCACCTCAGTCCAGCCCAAGGACAGAGCTTTGGGCCTTGGCTAAGTCACACTTGCTCTACCCTCTCCCAGCCTCAAGACACTAGGCTGGCCGCCCTGCCTGCGGGGGGGGGGGGGGGGGGGGGGGGGGGGGGGGGGGGGGGGGGGGGAGCTGCTTGGGGCCCAGGAGATGGTACAGAAGCTTCAAGGAGAGGAGGGGAACATCTCAAAGCCATGCCCCACCTGCTGGCCTCTGCTATCCACTGCAGGCACCGCAGAGTTCCCGATCAGGCACTTGGCTGAATGGCCGCCATGAGGCCATTGGGCCTCTCACTCTTTCTTAATGGAAGGACAATACTTCCCACTCCTTGCCATCCTCCCTCCCCCAACCACCACCTTGCTTCTCATTTGCAACCCCCTCCCTCAACGCTGGACGGGATCCCAGTCTTTCAAAGCAAAAATAGCTGATGGTACTGGGGCAGCAGCCAGTTTAAGTTTCTTTCATGCACTAAAAATAACTAGCTAAAGCGTGGTCCTGCACCTGGCCCCAGGCCTGTCCTGGTGCTGCCCTCCACCATCACATGGCTCTCTGCCCAAGGGGAGGTTTACCAAGGGTATGGGGAGAACCAGCCTGGAAGCCAGAATCCTTCCCTCACTTCTGGCCCAGGTTGAAGCCGGGAAGGATCCTGTTGACCTTGCTAATGTGTTCAGGGTTGAGCCGGCAGCACTGGCTCCACCATCCTCACTTTCTTTATGAAGAGCAGGTCCTGGACTGCTCACCTCACATTTGAGCTGCCTGACAGTTGCGAGGATGGAGAGTTCAGGGCTGTCCTCAGGAGAAAACGGAGGACTAGAGAAAGGTCAGG